AAATTGATTAACATGATCGACTCTAATAGTGAATACGTTATGCTAGTTTATATAAAATTATTATTTTAAAAAAATTATTATATTTGAGGAATAATAATGTAAGAAAAAAAAACTCTAAACAATATGTGATCAACGTATTGATATTGTATAACTAATACTTCGATATCCGATACATTGGGATCATATGGTTGATGTCTAAAATCTTATGTCTAAACCATATAATTTTATAATGTTCGATGTATGATCTGACTCGGGCAAGATAAAAAGTTGTGCGTTGCAACAAAATTAAAGCATGTTTTTGCCCACTTCATCAAACGTCTTCGTTCTTATCATCTTTTGAATGAGAATGAATGCTGCCGTTGATACATGTATAGGATAAGTTTCAATGCGCAGCCTTTTATATCTTTATTATCTACATTGCTTTCGAAGTTACGTCTAAACTGGGACATCGATCGCCATTAATGACAGGCATGTAATTGATGTGATGGATTATGTCACCCAATCGAGTTTAAAGAACATGTCGATCGACCCAAATTGGCTTATTAAGAATCGTGTTAAACATGATGATCTTTGGTCACCATGTCAATTGCATCTCTATCAAGTCGAATCAGATCACGAATGCGAATCAAATTCTGCTGCGATAAGTTCATCCTTGACCTGATCTGGTTTGGTCCGGCTTTAATCTGAGTGTTGAGATTCACGCACCGGGAATTCCCACCCCAATCGTCCACGACGCCAACCATGTGTGGGCTCCGCGAGAGAGGGAGGTCGTTTGAGGTGGGTGGGAGCATTTCTGGGAAGTGCGTGCATCCCTGACACCGAATCGTTCCCCGTTCTGAACTCGGTTTCTTCCCCTCCGCTCCTTTTAGGATTCTAATCGGCAACACTTTATTCATTCCAAAGAAAAAGAACGGGGAGGAATAACGCACACCTCCCTCGGCGTCACGGGCGCTTCCCGGCCACCAATCCATCGATTAAAGATTTCGTTCCTGGTGGGGAGAGAGAGAGAGAGAGAGAGAGCGATGGCGGCTTCTGTGTCGGCGTGGGCGAAACCAGGCGCGTGGGCGTTGGACGCCGAGGAGCACGAGGCGACCATGACCAAGGGCGATGAGAACGCTTCCTCGGAGACGGCGCAGCAGCAGCAGGATGACTTCCCTTCTCTCGCCGCCTCCAAGACCCCCAAGAAGAAGAAGAAGGCGCAGGCCGTCTCCCTCGCCCAGTTCACAACAGGCAGGCCTGTCTCCCACGGCGCTGCCGGCCGCGTCTCTTCCTCCTCCAAGGGCCTCACTTCCGACGAGCTCCTCCTCCTACCCACCGGCCCACGCGAGCGCTCTGCTGAGGAGCTCGAGCGCTCCTCTGCCCGCGGCTTCGGCTATGCCTACGGCGCCCGCGGTCGGGCCTCAGGGGAGGACACCAACCCCACCCGCTGGGGCTCGTCTAGGGTTTCCGACGAGCCGAGGAGGGGTGGCTTCGAAGGATCTGGCGGTGGATCTAACCGGGATCTGGAACCGTCCCGCGCCGACGAGATCGACGACTGGGGCGCGGCGAAGAAGTCCTTCGTGCCACAGAGGAGGGAGAGGGGAGGAGGAGGAGGGGGTTTCTTTGAGTCGCAGTCCAGGGCTGACGAATCGGATAGCTGGATCTCGAGCAAGAGCGTTGCGGCGCCACCCGATGGACGGAGGATCGGCGCTGGTTCCGGATTCGATGGGCCGAGATCGAGGATGGATGGTTTCGAGATGTTTAATAAGGAGGGGTCCAACGGCGGCCGAGCTGATTCTGAATCATGGGGAAGGAAGAAGGATTTCACGGATTCTGAGACATGGAAGAGAGACGAGGAAAGAAGCAGCGGAGGAAGGCGTAGGCTTGTGCTGCAACACCGCTCGTTGCCGTTGTCCAATGCAAACACCGGAGAACAAGCCCTAGGGGAGCAGGAAAAGGAATCTACCGAGAAGAAGAGCAGAGGTTCGAACCCCTTTGGAGGAGCCCGTCCTCGAGAAGATGTATTGGCGGAGAAGGGGCAGGATTGGAAGAAGATTGATGAGAAGCTGGAGGCCATGAAGATCCATAATGCATCGCTTGAGAAGACTTCATTTGGGGTGACAAATGGGACTCGTAGATCACCTGAGAACCACACAGATGGGGCTTGGAGGAAACCAGAGACAGCTGAGGCTTCACCTCTGAGGTCTGTCCCTTAATTCTTCACTTCAGTTGTTTGAATTTATTACTGTTTCTTGCAAAATGCATAGCTTCTGATATTTTAGAATTTTGCATGTCAATCATCTTTAATTTAGTTTACTTGTCATCTAATTTGTTCATTAAAATGTTCATAGATGTATCTTTGTATCTGATAGTGTCACATAACATGCACTTCTGATTTGTAAATCATGTGTTAGGCCACATATATTGCTCTGAGGGAAGCCATATGGATCAGCACTCATATGCCATTTCCATGTATGAATAATTTATTCATGCTAACAAACTTACAACCTAATGGGGTACTTCCATTTAATTTTAACACAGTTACCTTAATTTTAGCACAGTTACTTCATTTAATTTTCTTCATTTTATGTTACCTTAAAAGGTTTAAAAGCAAAGTTATCTTCTGCCCTACAAATCTATTTCATAGTTTTGTACTTGCATTCATGAACAAAGCTAACTGAAGTCTGGGATATTGAACTTTTTAATCCGTATCAATAATTTTGGTTGAAATTGGAGCAAACTCTTGTGAGTTTTAAACATCACTCAAACTTTGTACACTGTTAGAAAGCTACTTTTTTCAACTTAGTCATTGAATATATGTTTATTATCCATTTTAAAGCTCACATGTTGAGCCACTCTCATTCCACTTGTCAGTTTTTTTTTTTTTTCACTTGTCAGTTGAGGAGTAACTCATATCTACAATCCATGGTTGAGATCCATAGGTTTTCAAGTATTAGAGTTCTCCAAATAAAATGCATGTTAAGATGATGAGTATATTTTGGACTGTTAAGTAGGTGATATTTAATTGTTGCAACTTTTTTTGTTTAATTTATTTTCAGGTTTAGGTGAATTTTGATTTTTTTTTATTTAATGAATGAACTAAGTTAAACTAAATCTTCCTATAGCCAACAAACCTTGTAGATGTTAGCACAAACTCCTTTCTATCTAAATTTGGATTTGTCACTAGCTTAAGAGAGTTGACATCAGGTTGATACTTGATCACAGTCTTATCTTTCATCTTCATGGAATCTTCTCGAACTTGACAATGTTGGTAATTAAATTTGTGCTTGTGTTAAAACTGGGTTTCCTTATGTGAGCTTTTCATTTTCTTGGAGATGTAACACTGCCGTTTAGTCCCACGTCGGAAAAGGATAAGACTTGAATAAACATGTAAGGGCATGATTGATCATTAGCCTTGAGCATTTTTGGGCCATTGGTCTATACTCAACAAAGATAATGGGTCAAATCGGATCATGACATATGATGTCAGAATCGCATTGAGACATGGAGAGGGGCGTACCCCAAGTTTAATCTTGAATAGGAAGTGGATATATTGGATCAATGGTTGTTAATGGGTCAATTATCCATCGGATTGGACTTGATGGATATATAATCAATAACTTAGACATAAACATTTTGGATCGATGGTCTTAATGAGTCAGTTATCTATAGGATAGCACAAGTATCCCAGGTCATATGTTTTCATCTACCTACTCATATTACTATATATCGACTTCTGTGATAGATCTTTTCTCTTCATGAAAGTTCAATCTCATACTGCTTTGACAACTATACGTTACAGGGAAGACAAGATTGAAAGCACAGTACCTGAAAACTGAATTATACAGATGGATGCCCTTAGAAGCAGAGATTTATCCAACTAATGGGTCGTATTGAAGGCGCTGGGTTGTGGAATTTTTGAAACAACAGTTTTGGTAGATGAGTTAGTATCGTCGGTTTTGCTTGTGGAGGAGTGAGCATGGCACATCCAAATCGTCTGCCTTCACTGCGTTTTTAGTAGGTTCTTCATGATCTAATGGATCTTTTTTCATTTTTATGTCATAGAGTTATATTATTCTGAGAGTGTCACCAGTGTTGTGTGATTTTGAATTGCCATACAATGTTTACATTTGTGTTCAAGGTTGATTGTACTGTCATGTTCATTGGGTATGCTGAGTTAATTATGGGAAGTAGCGGCTGCATCCTTGTTATCGGCCATTGGATCAGAAAAAATAGCAACAACCATAGGCCATGAAAGTATTAATTTGATGGTACTGGTTATTTTCCTGATTCAGTGATCTTATAGTCAAGATGCATTCATTATATAGGGACATTCTCCAAGTAAAGATGACTTGTGTGTGTTTGTTGAATGGTCAATTCTAGCACTGAAATGTCAAGAGGAGGGGAGGATGAATTAAGTGTCTCATTTTGTTAGTGGTAAGAGCTTCAACATATTAAACAAGCGAATAAAAGTAAATTTTATATATGCTGGGATTATGTGACTATTTTATCTTGGTCTGATATCATATAAGACGATGGTAGTCCTTTGCACCCTCTCTACTCGATAAAATGAGACCAAGACTTGTGGATAGGTCTCTCCATGCCTAACACTTACGTGTACCATTAGCTGAAGAAGAAGATCAAACATGGAGGCCAGGCAGTGCGCTGGTCTTCGATTCATGAGTGGTCTGTACTATTGAGTCTGTCGTCTTCCCTCCCCCTTCGTGCAGTTCATCGATGGTGGTGGCACATGTGTATCATGTCTCTGCCACTTTGATGGCCACTGCCTGATTCTGGAGCACTGGTTTTCATTCCATCATTGGTGGTGATGCAATTGTGTCACTTCTCTTCCACCTTTTTATGCCCACTACCTGAGTCACTCCGGTAAATTCTAGGCCGGCGACCGTGTCGTGTCCACTATACTTCTCCTTCCTCATCGTGTCACTCCACATGGTTTGCCTATCATCCACTGAGACTGAGAGAGAGAGAGAGAGAGAGAGAGAGAGAGCTGGTGTGGAGGTGATGGCGCACTTCGAGCATGGAGGAGCAGTCAGAACCACCTGCTTAACCCTGCAGTCCTTGCCACTGACCTCTCACCCTATAAATCCAACGCAGAAGACGGAGGATCAAGTAAAGTTGGGACAACACGGTGGGAAATGAAGGGCTCGGTGGTCATCGGCATTTTCCTTTCTCTTTGGTCTCTTGCGCCGCAGCAATTCATGGGGATGCAAGAAGCGAAGAGAGAGGTGTATGTGATCTACATGGGAGCTGTCCCTGTTGCTTCCTCTGGGGACATGTTGAGAGAGAACCACCTTCAGCTTCTGTCCTCCGTGTTGAGAAGGTTAAAATGCTGTCTGCTACTGTACTAATCTGACCTTATAGACAACGAACCTCACTGTTTCTGACGTGCAAATCACTACTTGCATACATTGCCTTACCTGAATCAGGGGACAGTCGCCAGAAAAGACACTACTTTGGAGCTACAGACATGGCTTCTCCGGCTTCGCAGCCAGATTGTCCAAGGAAGAAGCCGTCGCCATCAGCGAAAAGGCAGGGGTGGTTTCGGTGTTCCTCGACCCGATCTACCAGCTTCACACCACCAGATCATGGGACTTCTTGCGACAAACATCCTTGGAGACCGACTCGAAGCCGGATGAGGAAGCAGCTTCTTCGCCTCAGACCTCCGACACTATCATAGGATTCTTGGACACCGGCAAGCTCCAAAACACTTCAATACTCGCTCTTTATGTTTGGATAGTTATTTGCTTCTCATCATCATCATCGATCATAGGCGTTTGGCCGGAATCGTCGAGCTTCAACGACAAAGAAATGGGTGCTGTTCCCGGGCGATGGAAGGGAGTGTGCATGGCAGGGTCTAACTTCAGTGCATCCAGTTGTAACAAGTGAGCTCAAAGCAGAGGTTTATGGTAGTTTTGTTAGGTAATTGGCTGAGGAATTCCCTCCCTCTTCTTCATCCATCGACAGGAAGCTAATTGGAGCAAGGTATTATTCTTCGGACGATGACATGGCCACACCAACCAAATGGTTGAGTGGCGACTCCCCCCGAGATGCTTCCGGTCATGGGACGCACACGGCGTCCACCGCGGCCGGGAGCTCGGTTATGGACGCCTCCTACTACGGCCTCGCGAGGGGGATAGCCAAGGGCGGCTCGACCTCGTCGCGGATCGCAATGTACCGTGTGTGCTTCGAGGACGGCTGCCCTGGCTCTGCCATTCTGGCTGGGTTTGACGACGCCATCCGCGACGGCGTCGACCTGATGTCGGTGTCGCTGGGGGCGTCCAAGTTCAACAGACCGGACTTCGCGGCCGACCCCATCGCCATCGGAGCATTCCACGCCGTGGCCAAGGGGATCACGGTGGTGTGCTCGGCAGGGAACGATGGACCCTCTTCGGCCTCCCTTGTGAACACTGCTCCTTGGATTCTGACCGTCGCCGCGACGACCATCGATCGAGACTTCGAGTCCGATGTCGTCTTAGGCGGCAACAAGGCAATCAAAGTACGCCAAGCCCTTCCCTGCTTTGCTCTCGTATGTGGATTACTAATGCCTCATGTTACTGAATCCAGGGAGGAGCCATAAACTTCTCTGGTCTGCAGAAGTCCCCGGTTTACCCGTTGATCTACGGGGAAGCAGCAAAGTCCAATTCGAGCTCCAATGATGGATCTGCAAGGTAAGAATTTTTGTGGTAATGCGTATCGACGAGGAACAGAGAGTTTGGTTGAGTTTACTTTGCGCATCATCCACAATCCAGTCACTGTGATCTGGGAACACTGGAAGCCAACAAGATCCGAGGCAAGATAGTCCTCTGCAACCATTCAACGGGCGACTTCTCGAAGACGTTCAGGACAGAAGAATTGAAGAGCTCAGGAGCCGTCGGAGCCATCTGGATCAGTGACATGCAAAGAGGCGTGGCTGATACCTACAACTCCTTCCCTGTGACCCAAATCTCCTCACAGGCAGCTGATGAGATCCTCAGCTACATGAACTCCACCAAGTAAATCGAAACAGATACGGCAAAATGATACGAGACTGCATATTTCAGATAATTGTGGCATTAAACACTAATTTTGCTTGCTGATTTCTTCGAAGAAACCCAGTCGGCACGATACTCGCGACGGTCACGGTTACGAAGTATAGGCCGGCGCCGGTGGTGGCGTACTTCTCTTCCAGAGGTCCGTCAACGGAGGCGAGTGGCATCCTCAAGGTAAGCTCGTGACTCTTGCATGATGAGTTCTTGTGGCGAAGATGGCTGAGCGATTAGGCATCCATATCTTGCAGCCTGATGTTGCTGCACCTGGAGTGAACATCCTTGCAGCATGGATCCCAGGCGAGGACTCATCGGATGTTCCCCCAGGTCAGAAGCCTTCACCATTCAAACTCGTCTCCGGAACCTCCATGTCTTGCCCTCATGTCGCCGGAGTCGCTGCCACTGTCAAGTCTTGGAACCCAAGCTGGAGCCCCGCCGCTATCCGATCGGCCATCATGACCACCGGTCAGCAAACGCCTCCGATCTCCGCTCCATCTAATTCCAAGCTTTGCTAACTCAATCAACTTGAATTGCATCGGGTCTCGATCTGTAGCTACTCAGGTAAACAATGACGACGCACCACTGACGACCGAGTCCGGATCAACCGCGACTCCCTACGACATTGGAGCTGGAGAAGTGAGCCCAACGGCTGCGCTGCAACCAGGCCTGGTGTATGAAGCAGGACCTGAGGATTACTTCCGGTTCTTATGCAACTATGGCTATCCACCATCCAAACTCCGACTCATAGCTGATACACCGGAAGGATACAAATGCCCGGAAAACTCGAGCAAGCAGCTCATCTCCGATCTCAATTATCCATCGATCGCCATCTCAAACTTCACAGGGAAGGAGAGCAAGATTGTGAACCGGATCGCGACAAACGTTGGAGCCGAAGAAGATGCTACTTATGCTGTGAGTGTCAAGTCTCCACCTGAGTTAGATGTGCAGGTGGTACCAAACAAGCTTCATTTCTCCAAGAACACCACGAAGCTCAGCTACCAAGTGATCTTCTCTGCTACCAAGGCATCAGTGAAGGGTGATTTGTTTGGATCCATCACTTGGTCAGATGGAATCCACAGAGTCAGAAGCCCATTTGCTGTGAGAGGCATATAGCATGCATTTCCTGGATGTAACACTAAACTCATTATTATATAGCTCGACATAAATTATGCTTACATAATTCATCACGATTTCAAGACATGCTAAATGATACATATCATTCTTGTGATTTCACTAAAACTGACTCATTAATGATACATATCAATCTTGATTGAAGGACCTTATTTGACAGTGCCTAATTAGCACCTGAATGAGAAGCAATATTATAAAGATAGATAGAAGCAATCTATCATAATGAGAGCCTCTTGTTGCTGCCCCCTTTAAACAAGCATTTGAGGTAATTCTTCAGGCTGTAAGGCCTTCTCTGTGGGGTGACACTTCTTTTGATGGCTGAGTGCATGAATGAGGTGGCTGTTTGGTTGTCTTGTGGCATGTAAAGGACACTCCCATTCCTCCATGGGAAGGGGGGTCTAAATCACATGGCACATTCCGATCCGATCATGACCTCCCTCCCCTGCCTGAGAGAGAGAGAGAGAGAAAGAGACAAGAGAGGGAGAAAGGTAGATGTCATTAAATAGGATATGGAGAAACCCCACGCCATCAACATTTTGTAGCATATGACTTATATAATGTTTATTAGAAGATTGATAATATGAATGAAGTTTTATTTATAGGACAACATTAATTATGCTGCCGACCGAGGAAATAACTAAGAATAGGAATCAACATCAACATAAATAAAATGCACGAGTAGCAGCACAAGTCCATTTTGTTGGTGGTGATTAAGCATCTTCCTTGATTAGCCATGTCTACTGCATGACCTAATATTCACTTATCACAAAATCTTTGTTCTATTTGCTGCCCGAGCTATAAACGCCGAATCCCTTCGATGCTGAAGCTTCATTTGTCAGACTCGTGATTGATCCCCAGCAGACATCATAACATTTGGGAGGTTTAGTTTGGTTAAAGCATATTTTAGGTTGTCCGACTAGAATATCGATTCGATGTAAATCGATGTTCTGCTTGTTATTTATCTGTGAGTGAGATAGAATCGGACGGTCAATTTTTGATTCAAATGATTTAGCTCAATGTCAAGCTTGTGTCCGAGCCTTTTTATTGTGAGGTCTTGGACTATTGTATTTAATTAACGTCATCATCAAATGTTGGGAATAATTATGGCATTAGATATTCTTGTATAGTATTAAAGTTGGATCTTATGCATTAGATGTCATGGTTAAGTGATAGTATTTTAAATATTAGTTTGGTGATTAATTTAGAAATTAATATAATAAAACATAAACATAAAATATTGAGGATAAAGTTAAATTGTTTGATACTCTTACCTATATCAACCAAAAAAATAAAAGAATAAGAAATTTGACCTCTTCACTATGATTAAACAATAAAACATAAAAACTATTCGAAATGTGTTCTAAGCATGTCATCGAGATTAACATTCTCATCAACAGCATGTCTTGCAAAGAGTTCGCTTGCCCGCACCATATTCGATATTATCTTAATTAAATCATGGTCATATTATTTTTTTATAAATGATTAGTAATTAGGATGAGATTTTATCCTTATTCTTTACTAAGTTCAAAATATCAATGTTTTTTATACAAAAATAATCGAATGTAATATTGAATTATTAATTTTTTATATATGAAATTTGATATATCTTCACTAAATTAATATTTTAATATAAAAATTATTCGATAAAATTAAATCGACAAGTGGATCCAGAATATTATCATCAAATTAATATTTTTGGCATGACCATGAAATATGTGTTTGATTGGTCTAAAACTATGTTTCTTTTTCTTCTTTTCATGAACATTACTCCCTTTCAAATAGCTCGTTATTTGCTCGCTCTTCACTGTTATTGAGATTTGTGCAGTTAAAATTTGATCGGAATGTAAAATCCTTTTTTTTTCCCCTTCTGATCGGGTGATCTGAAATGACATTAGCATAGCAAATTTGCTGATTCCAACCTCTCCAATCCCCAATTGGTTCATTTTGTTGTATTGGTCGTTTAGTGGTGGCCACTTCAACCAAGGCTTCGTCTCTTCAATGCCGTGTTGGTCTTTGCTACCGACTTCTTTGTCATCAACCCTCAAACACTTAATGCGGAATATTTCGATATCTATGACTCTCAAGGCATCATTCCCTTTTAGCTTGCTCTCTGACCACAACCATTGAACGTAATTAGGTTAATTAAGCTAACTCAGAGGTCAGGAATTGAGTTCGCAGACTCGAATTTAATGCAATCAATTAACTAGAATTGATCTTACATAAGTCAGAGGGATATATAAATTATTTCCTTAATTTATAACGGTTGATAAATAAAGAAAAACCCAATAAGAACCTGATATTAAGATATAATCTAACTTAGCTGTCTGTTCAACGCTTAAAGAGCACATAAGCCAAATATAAGTTTCTATTTCCAAGATGCGAAATACATAAATTTCTATAATAATGATTTGATGAAGGGTTAATTGTTTTCATTTAATCCATCGGACTGATTCCGATCCTATAACTGTGCAGACCGTACAAAGTGGTACCAGTGGTTCAGCAGTGGATGTGTATTAAATGTTTTCCAGCGGTGCAGACGCATGATGGCATATGTATTACATGTAATATAAATATTCCATGCTGCGAGGAAAGCCATCAAGCATACTTTTCCACCGCCACTCCACACATCAGTTCCCCTTTCCCCTCTGCCAGAAGATTCGAGATCGAGGAACAAACAAACGGCCAAATCGGAAAAGGGGAACCGCCCCGCTCCCACCTTTACCTTTAGTGTTGAAATGTTTCTTGTTGACAGCGTTACCGCACCGAATGGGACTCTTCGCACCACTAACCGACGCCCTCGCCAACTAAGCCCAGCTGTAACCACCCGCCCCAAACGACCGACTGTGCGACACATTTCACCCGAATCTTTATCAAAGTTTTCCTTGAGAGATTAAAGCTTTGTTGAAATAGAAGACGAAGAACATTTCATGGACTCCATTCCCATCGAATGAGAAATGAGGAAAATGAAGCCAGAGATCACGAGAGACGAATATAAGTTAGAAAAGCAGAGGCGCACACAGATTTGAGACGACGAAGAAAATGATCTGAAACTAACTAAGACAGAATAAAATAACTCTCAACTAACCTCCGGTGGAGCCGTCCGCCGGATTCCGAGTTTAGTTAATTAGGACGAGGGCGGAGGAGCGGCGAGCGGCTTCCGGCAAAGGATCATGTGCATGGGGGTGAAGATGCCGGACTCGCCGCCGTCGCTGAGGTGGCGCGCCGTCTCGTAGAGCATCTCGTGCACCTCCACCACGCCCTTGGGGGCGACTCGCAGGGCGGTGAGGGCGGAGACGAGCAGGTGGTTCCGCCAGTAGGAGATCCGCCCCATCTTGAGGCGAGTCCACCACGGCCCCGCTGGGGGCAGCGCCAGGTCGCGCTCCTCCGCCACCTCGAAGCCCACCTGCCGCGCCACCTCCGCGATCTCGTGCTGCGCACGGAGCCCCGGCAGGGCGTCGCCCGCCTCGATCCCGCGGATGGTCTGGACGTGGGCGGGGTCGTCCGCCCTGTAGAGTGCGGTGGTCACCCACTCGTAGGACACGTAGAGGGCCCCAGGCTTGAGCACCCGGAAGACCTCACGGTAGACATCCTCGAGGCGGGGGGCGTGGCAAGTGGCCTCGATGGAGTAAGCGCCGTCGAAAGAGGCGTCGGCGAAGGGCATCTCGAGGAAGTTGCCGCAGATGACCTCGCAGCGGTCGTCGAGGCCAGCCTTTCGGTTGTGGGTGCGGGCGCGGGCG